AAGCGCAAAGTAGTCCCATCACCCCCGCCCACATCCACGATTGTCTCAATCCCTTTGAACACCTCTAAACAACTTTCAATCACTGCAGGCACAGCTACCCTTGCATCACAAGCCATTGCTTCATTGAAAAGCTTGCTGTGATCAGGATTGGCCGCGGCATGGCTCCATAAATCCTCACCGTGTACTGCTTCAAATGCTTGATTGCTAATACCTTGAATTTGAGCAGTTAGGCCATGCCACGGTGCCAGCATTACCGGGCTACTCCCTAGCAAAATTAAAGCAGCCATGCTGTTTTCTCCGGATTTCAATAGCAGTTTGGACAAAGGTGTTTGTGCATAAACTTTGGGGCATAATTGGGTTGTTGGTTTTTCTTTGAATATTTTGAGGTGGACTAGGACCCTCATGATACGGTAAAGGGGAGAAGGATCACATCTTAGAGCAGAGGATAGCTCTAGGAGTGTCATGGGGCTGCCATGGCTTTCAATTGCATCAGCTATTCCAAGCTCAATGGCACATTTTACCACCGCGATTTCGATAAACCCGTACACATATTTCCAGATTTCCAGTTTGGCATGTTCTTCTTCGTCCTCTTCTTCTCCTAACTCTCTTTGTTTATCTTCCATCTCTTACTGTGTGTGTCGTAGGCTCTAAGGTATCAATATATATAATTTGCAGGAAGAGATTGGAGTATAGTTACATGAACATGTGTTGAACAGTCTAGGTAATGTATATCATTTTCATTGGGATTCTTCCCAGATTCAACCACTCAATTTTAAATGTATTGACATCTTTTGCCTAATTGGCTGGAAGGATTTTGTCTTGTATACAAAACTCTTTCTTTGCCACAATATTTTATGAAAAAGTTTACTACGTAAGCATGCATTGTTTAGCTGTAGATATATAGTGGTATTATCTTAAGAATCTTGTGATTTTGCTGTGAGCATATATATATATATATATATATATATATATTTTGTGTTTATTATTTTTGTCTTTCCAATCATGTTTTGATACTCTTCTAATGTTTTTCTTTGAATATTTTGAGGTGGACTAGGACCCTCATGATACGGTAAAGGGGAGAAGGATCACATCTTAGAGCAGAGGATAGCTCTAGGAGTGTCATGGGGCTGCCATGGCTTTCAATTGCATCAGCTATTCCAAGCTCAATGGCACATTTTACCACCGCGATTTCGATAAACCCGTACACATATTTCCAGATTTCCAGTTTGGCATGTTCTTCTTCGTCCTCTTCTTCTCCTAACTCTCTTTGTTTATCTTCCATCTCTTACTGTGTGTGTCGTAGGCTCTAAGGTATCAATATATATAATTTGCAGGAAGAGATTGGAGTATAGTTACATGAACATGTGTTGAACAGTCTAGGTAATGTATATCATTTTCATTGGGATTCTTCCCAGATTCAACCACTCAATTTTAAATGTATTGACATCTTTTGCCTAATTGGCTGGAAGGATTTTGCCTTGTATACAAAACTCTTTCTTTGCCACAATATTTTATGAAAAAGTTTACTACGTAAGCATGCATTGTTTAGCTGTAGATATATAGTGGTATTATCTTAAGAATCTTGTGTTTTTGCTGTGAGCATATAATTTTTTTTTTCGGTGTTTCTTATTTTTGTCTTTCCAATCATGTTTTGATACTCTTCTAATACTATATGTATTAGAATGTGAGCATCCAACCTGAAATCAATTGACCATGGATGGGGAGACCCAAAATCTTTTATACCATTTGACAAGGCTTTAATTCTCCGATGTGAGATTCACACTCCCAATCAACACAAACAACCTTTATCTACGCACAAATCGGAGGAACAACTATTGAGCTATATGATGAATTGAATTGAATCAATACAGATGATACAATTTTCTGCAGAAAACTCTTATTTTGCTTCTTTCTTGCTCCTACTCTAACCAAAGTTTCCGTCCATTGATTCTCTCTCGTAAGGACATTGAAAGACAAATGCAATTGGAGGGCAGTGAATTGGGTTGCTTAATGTGAAGGTTACATGTATATTTATATATATTAAAAAATTCTTGAAATTGATGGAGTTATCTGGGAAGGAAAGAAATTAGGGTTGTACACGTACAATACAATATATATATATATATATATATATATAGTCCATGTGTTAATATATTAATTTAGAGAAAGAAAAAAAAAAAAAAAGGAAAGTACAAAAGCTGCAGCCGGTTGGAGTTAGGAAAGAAAAAGAAAGATATTAATTCTTGCCTATTACAATAAAGGTAAGGAAAAAAAAACTGAAACTTGCGGTTTTTTTTTTTTAAAACACACTCCAAGTGAAACGATGTCGTTTCACTATAAGATTGTTTTTAAAACACTGCAACCAAAACGACGTCGTTTCGTTGCAAACCTAAAAAAATAAAAATCCAGTCGTCTTCCTTGCGAGTTCGTCTGCCTCGCAGAAAATTTGCAGACTTTCAATTTCTTCCGATTCAGAAGTTTCCAGATTTGGTACACCTTGCAACGCTTTGCTCCGCCTTCTCACGCCTTCCCAGCACTAAACGTGCAACTCTTTGATAAAGATTTTTTAAATCGAACCGAACTAGAAATTATGGAAAAGATGCCTGCAGGAATAAATGAATCTTTAGCTAGGTATATTGTTGTCTAGCTGTAACATCAAATACCTACGTAGGATGCATGTGTTAAGATGCCTGCAGGAACATCTAATTCATTCAATATTGTATTATAGAATAAATTAATCTTTAGCTAAGTACATTATTGTCTAGCTGTAATATCAAATATCTACGTAGGATGCATGTGTGACTTTGTTGAGGCACATGTTTTTGGGGGTATATGTAGTAAAATAAGAAAGGAAGACTTTGTCTATTATTTACAAAGATCATGACTTTGTGGACTCAGTCAAGTAAGGATCTTTATAATTAAGATACGGAAAAAAAATTGTCGTGTTTCTCGCCTTTGTAGCTCTCTCTCTCTCTCTCTCGCCTAATAGGATCCCAGGGGTTAACAATATCAGATTCTCTTTCTTCTACAAGGAGAACCCATTCATCTCAAATATCATGATTTCCGCCTTGAGATCTGCCATGGCCTCCCTTCATCTTGAGATCTGCCATGGCCTCTGTTCTTCCACTAGTATGTCATGATTTCCGCTTAATCAAAGGAAGAAAAAAAACAGATCCAAAAAAATTTCACACTTTACTGTTTGTTTGCATCTATATAACCAATTCAGATTTTATCAATGTTGTAAACAAAAAAAAGTTGAGATAATTATAGGCCCTCCTTGAAACAACTAAGAAGCTATTGAAAGGTCCTGAATCTCAAAAGAGTTGTATTGAAAATTATATGCACTCATCATCGCCACGGCCGTGAAGAACCGACTGCAATTCACGAAAACAGAATCAGAGTATCCATTGTCAACGCCTTGTTGAGCAAGATAATCAGGGAGTGATGGCAAAGAAACCACATTTTTTCTTATCCCATTAGCGCAGACAAATGATGTAATAAGTAGACATTAACAGACAAATCAAATGATGAAACTAATAGCTCACAGGATGAATGAAAAATATAAACGTGTTGCTGCTAGCTATTTTAAGGCTGCTCTTCCTTAAATGGTTTAGTTTTCTTGATTTCTTTTAACTACATACATATGATACATGTATATATATATAATATATATACTAACCTTCTTAATTACAGCATCAGCCTTTGGAACACAATCAAACATGTCACCTCCAACATTCTCAATGCGGTCACACTCCTGAGCAACAGACACAACATGAGGAAGATCAAAGTTGATGCCTTGAATCCAAGGACATGCCTCAACCAACAAGCGCAAAGTAGTCCCATCACCCCCGCCCACATCCACGATTGTCTCAATCCCTTTGAACACCTCTAAACAACTTTCAATCACTGCAGGCACAGCCACCCTTGCATCACAAGCCATTGCTTCATTGAAAAGCTTGCTGTGATCAGGATTGGCTGCGGCATGGCTCCATACATCCTCTCCATGTACTGATTCAAATTCTGAATTGCTAATACCTTGAATTCGAGCACTTAGGCCATGCCAAGGTGCCAGCATTAACGGGCTACTCTCTAGCAAAATTAAAGCAGCCATGCTGTTTTCTCCGGATTTCAATAGCCGTTTGGACAAGGGTGTTTGTGCATAAACTTTGGGGCCTATTTGGGTTGCTGGATTTTCTTTGAATATTTTGAGGTGGACTAGGACCCTCATGATGCGGTAAAGGGGAGAAGGATCACATCTTAGAGCAGATGATAGCTCTAGGAGTGTCATGGGGCTGCCATGGCTTTCAATTGCATCAGCTATTCCAAGCTCAATGGCACATTTTACCACTGCGATTTCGACAAACCCGAACACATATTTCCAGATTTCCACTTTGGCATGTTCTTCTTCTTTCTCTTCTTCTCCTAACTCTCTTTGTTTATCTTCCATCTCTTTCTGTGTGTATGTCGTAGGCTCTAAGGTAGCAATATATATAATTTGCAGGAAGAGATTGGAGTATAGTTACGTGCAGAACATGTGTTGAACAGTTTAGGTAATGCAGGGGCGGTCCTACCCTAAGGGCAGGGTAGGCAGCCGCCTACTCCATTTTTTGCCAAATCAAAAATTACCCAATACCCAATACCCAATACAATCAAATTTCTTCTGCCTTCTCAAACCCAACCCACCAGGGGCAGTCCGGCCCTAAAGGTAGGGTAGGCAGCCGCCTACTCCATTTTTTGCCAAACCAAAAATTACCCAATATCCAATACAATCAAATTTCTTCTGCCTACTCAAACCTAACCCACCAAGGGCAATCCTACCCTAAGGACAGGGTAGGCGGTTGCCTACTCCATTTTTTGCCAAACCAAAAATTACCCAGTACAATCAAATTTCTTCTGCCTACTCAAACCCAACTCACTCAAATTTTTCCATTTAACCCAGCCCACTCAAACTTTCTCCTTTAACAAAAACAATAAAAAGCAATATAAGCATGTGAAAGTTGTATGGAGATTTTTTTCAATGTTAACTAACATTGTGAATTTTGTTAGTGCTTCTGCTAAGCGCCGTAATGAGTTAAATTTAATTCGAAAAGTTGAACTCAAAAAGTTGTTGGATTATGGGGAACTTGAGACAGGTAGAGGACTTAATCAAGGTCGTAGTTTGAAACGAGCTGGAGCCACTCATTGGGGATCTCACTTTGCCTACTACAAGTTTGATGAGTTTATTTAAAGTGACTAAAATACTTCTCCAGGAAATCAGTGATTATGGACCTAACCAACAATTTCGTGGCGATGCAGAGAATAACCATATTGCTATGATGTCTTTTGTGTTTGTGTTTTCATTTCTTTTGATTGATAAAATTATGGGATTGACCAACTTTCTTTGTCCAGTGTTTCAGACAAAAACTCAAGATATTGCAAGTGCTTTAAACTTTGTTGAAAACACAAAATCACAGTTCTAAGATATGAGGGCACATGTCTGAGATGATTTATTCATGAGTGTGGTATCATTTTTTGAACAACATGGTATTAATGTTCCTAATATGAATTTTTGTTATATGATGGGCACACGTCGTTTTTGTCAACAAAAAGATTTTATTACAGTTGAACATTACTATCGCATTGATATATTTAATGATGTGATAGATTGCATGTTGGGGGAGTTAAATGACAGATTTCCAGAGCAAACAGTTGAACTTCTTATTCTTAGCTTAGCATTGGATCCTCGTAATTCCTTCAAATCATTCAATATTGGGCATCTATGTAAACTTGCTGAGAAATTACATCATGCTGATTTCAGTCCAAGTGACTTGAAAGCTTTAGAAATTGAGTTGAGGTATTTTCAAAATGATATGCATCGCCTTCCCTGCTTTAAGGACCCCACCACTTTTCCTCAGTTATGTCAACAATTGGCATAAACAACTTTGGCAGAAAACTACCTTTTGCTTTACAGGTTGATTTAGTTGGTGTTGACTCTTCCTGTTTCTACAGCAACAACGGAACGAACTTTTTCATGTATGAGAATTATTAAGAATAGACTTCGGAGCACTATAGCTGATGAATTCCTTGCTAATTGCATGATTCTCCACATTGAAAGAGAGTTTGCTAATAATATTGATAATGAAGATATAATTGAGGAATTTAAGATTTCTAAGCCTCGTAGGGTAAAGTTTTAGATTTAAATAGTTTAGTTTTGTGTTGCATTGCATTTACTTCTTGTTTTTTATTTTTAAGCTTTTATTTATGTATAGATATGCATATTTGAGGGTAAGACTCATTACGTCCCCCCTGATTAGGTGTATCTTTTTATTTTTATGAATAAAATTCACTCGTACCGTCGAGTTTTTAAGGTAAGTTTTGCCTTCTTGACTTTTGAATCTTGGATCCGCCACTGAGGTAATGTATCATTTTGATTGCGATTTTTTCCAGATTCAACCACTCAATTTTAAATGTATTTTCATGAAATGGTAGACATCTTTTGCCCAATTGGCTGGAAGGATTTCGTCTTGTATACAAAATTCTTTCTTTGCCAAAGTATTTTATCGAAAATTTTACTACGTAGTAGACAAACATGGTAAGCATGCATTGTTTAGCAGTAGCTAGTGGCATTATCATAAGAATCGAAAATATGGAGGGCTAATCACATACCGACACGTGGCTCTTAAAAATCCTATCTGAAAAGTTATTTGGAGCATTTTTGCTCACCACTTTAACTCAAGGTGTACACAACCCTTCCCAAAAGGTGACACATGTCCGTGGGTTTAACTATAGTTAACTCTTTATTTTTTTTATTTATTTGATGACATAATTATGAGAGAGAAACGATGGTTTAATAAAAAAATTCCTGATTTACCCTTTTTCTATTAATTAACCCAACAAACCTTCCATTTTTTTATTAATTACCAATGAAGCGAACAACAATCCAAATAATTAACAACATCTTCATGACGATCATTACTATAAAAAATAAAATAAAAATTGTTTCATTTGACCAAAAAAAAAAAAAAAATCTCTTGAAGCTAGTCACACTGATGCAAACACTCGTATTCATTTCCTTCAATAATGCCTCTATGGAATTAGCAGTGCGATATGAAAATCAAATCATTTAGAAAATTGCATATAAGAAAATAATAATACTATATTATGGGCCATCATCAAGAACATACCCCCATTCCTTCAAGGTCCTTTCTTTTCCTGTATTAGTATGGGCCATCATCACCATGTCTAGCATCAATCTCACATTTGTTAGCTCGCTGTCCTCTTTCTCGTCTTTTTCATCGATAACCGCTTCTATGATTATCACCTTCCCTTTGTCCTCAGGAATAGCTTCCCTGCACTTCTTAAGGATAGAGATGCACTCATCATCTTCCCAGTCATGAAGAACCCACTGCAATTCATGAAAACGAAATCAGAGTATCCTTTGTCATAATTAACGTGTTGTTGATTGAGCAAAAAAACTTATAGCCAGATAATCAGGGAGTAATGGCAGAGTAACCGCATATTTCTTATCGCGGACAAATGATGTAATAAGTGGTAGACATTAACAGACATCAAATGATGAAACTAATAAGTCACAGGATGAATGAAAAATATAAAGATGTGTTGCTAACTTGCTGCTAGCTATTTTAAGGCTACTCATCCTTAAATGGTTTAATTTTCTCTATTTCCTTTAACTATATATATACTAACCTTAATAATTACAGCGTCAGCCTTTGGAACATAATCAAACATGTCACCTCCAACATTCTCAACGCGGTCATACTCCTGAGCAACAGATCAAAGTTGATGCCTCAGATCCAAGAGCATGCCTCAACCAACAAGCACAAAGCAGTCCCATTACCCGTGCCCACGTCTACTACTGTGTCAAGCCCTTTGAACACCTCTATACAACTTTCAATCACTGCAGGCACAACCACCCTTGCATCACAAGCCATTGCTTCATTGAAAAGCTTGTTGTGACTAGGATTGGCTGGGCCAAAGCTCCATAGGTCCTCACCATGTACTTCCTCAAACACTGGATTTCTAATATTACCTTGGATTCGGGCACTGAGGCCATGCCACGGTGCCAGCATTACCGAGCTACTCTCTAGCAAAATTATAGCAGCCATGCTGTTTTGTCCGGATTTCAATAGCCGTTTGGACAAAGATGTTTGTGCATAAACTTTGGGGCCTAATTGGGTTGCTGGTTTTTCTTTGAATATTTTGAGGTGGACTAGGACCCTCATGATGCGATAAAGGGGACAAACATGGTAAGCATGCATTGTTCAGCTGTAGCTAGTGGCACATTATCATAAGAATAAGATACATATGTTTTAGTTGTGAATCTTGTTTTTTTGTTGTGAGCAGAGAGCTAAGCCTCTACTGAGCTATATAATATAATATGCTCTTGTAATGAGTTCAATCGAGTCAATACTGAATACTGATGATACAGTATTCTGCAGAAAACTCCATCTGAGTTCGCTTAGCTTCCATCCATTGGCTCTGTCTCATAAGTCGTTAGGACATTGAAAGACAAACTAATGGAAAGAAAGACATTGGAGGGCTGTGAATCACATACATGTATACCTTAAAAATCAAAGCATGTGTTGCTCAAAAACATGCCTACTAGTATTGGGAGGGAAAGATATATAGCAGCCACAATGCATTTGCTCAGATTTTATTGCCAACCATCTAAAGATTACAAACTGCAAGAGCAGTAGGCTTATTAAATCAACAGATAAAGACCAAAAGGTAACTTAAACACTACAATGAAACAGTACTAATTTGCAAAAACAAATCCACATCCATAACTTTTTGTTCTCTAAATTTAAGGAAAAGCTTGAATAACGGAACAGACAGCATGAATAGGTGTGATAGTGTGTCGGCTGAAGCCAGCTTCCCCAAGAACATATTCCCATTCCTTCAAGGTCCTTTCTTTTCCTGTGTTTGTATGGGCCATCTTCACCATGTCTAGCATCAATCTCAGATTTGTTAGTTTGATGTCCTCTTTCTCATCTTTTTCATCGATAACCACTTCTACGATTATCACCTTCCCTTTATCCTCCGGAGTAGCTTCCCTGCACTTCTTAAGGATACGGATGCACTCATCATTGCCCCAGTCGTCAAGAACCCACTGCAATTCACGAAAACAGAATCAGAGTATCCATCGTCATAACTCCTTGTTGAGCAAGAAAACTTATAGCAAGATAATCAGGGAGTGATGGCAGAGGAACCACATTTTTTCTTATCCCATAGCATCGATATTAATGCCGAACAAATCCAATTAGCACTTTTCATCACATAATGATACTATACAAGTTTCGAAGAGTGGCTTATTTATCAGGCCATCATTTCATTACTCTAAATTCACAAAATTTAAATCCTCCTAAGCGCTTGACATTAGCTCACGCAATAAGGGTGAGTGAGAAAATGAGTTAAGATTATGATATGTAAATAGTTAGCTACTTTCTCATTGTAGCACAAGAATTCATCTATTTGTTATGGTTTTAGCAAGAAGCAACTGCAAAACAAAGGCCCGAGTCACACTGATGCCATAATGATCTAACTTGAAAGCATACATAGCCATTTGCTGAAGAGACTGAATCCAAACCTTTTGGATGTTGAGAGTGACAAATGTTAACCAATGCATCCATCCGCAAGGAAATTTACCTCCATAACCAAGGTTGGAAAGAGGGAAATAAACTTGGCAACCAAATGTTCAATATCTTGAGACTATTTATGACAGGACCCGACCCGAATTTCCCGGAACCCGAGACGAACCCTGCGGAGACCCCGACATCACACCCACGCCGGGTTCACTCCTTAAAACTATGTCCTCTTTTACCAGAGAGGATTTAGGGCACGAGACTTTCTGCCAAAATTTCGGCAGAGTCTCCCCTGTAAATTGAACATTCCCCAAAATTTCCACCTGCATAAAACACATTTTACAACCCAACCAGCAGCACGCACAATATAATCTCACGCAGTTTACCTAAATGGCCTCCGGCCTTCAAATGATTCTAACAAACTGCCCACACTGTTTTCAAAATAACTTAATGCATCACACATGCATATAACCAATTCAAAACCATCCATACACACCTTCACTCACTCAATCCATCGGACAAGCCTCAATTCAACCAAGTTTCGGGACCAACCACGAGGTCCGCATCATACTCGATAAAACCACCTAAGTGGTGTCTAGGTCGTGGCTGCACCTAGGCGCTATCCCAGGCTGCCTACGTACCCTACTAAGGGATCAAGCCACACGTAGCTCTTTCTTATCAATCCTGGTTCCTAATATCAAATAAACCATTCCATCCATATAAATTCATACATTCTAGGGTTTATCCATCACAACACACCAAACACAATCACATAGCTCCCCTCATACGACGGGACGCACCCGGCCTCGTATGGGGTCTGTCTACACGCCGGCTAATCCAAAGACGCGTGCGACCTCAACCCTGGGCCTGGCTACATTCTCACCAGCCCTCACACAATCATATCTCCCCTCATACATCGGGACGCACCCGGCCACGTATGGGGTCTGTCAACACGCTGGCTAATCCAAAGACGCGTGCGACC